GCTTGGCTTGCGCGTGACTAGGTATGATTGAACTGGCATAAGCTTGAACCGATGAGAAGCGCCAGGCTGCCAGCCTCCTTTCATAAGATGTGGGAGTCGCTGCTTTGATGCTCGCCAACAAGATATTTTCCCAACGAGTTTTGACATTGGTGGATGTTTCATAGTTTTCTCTCTTGACTCTCGTATCCTCCTAAAACCAAACATGCGGCAGTCAAGACATGTTCGCACTATGCAGTTTGCTCACCATTGCATTCCCTCACAGGCAGAGATTTGCGTCATGGCTTTCCGTCAGAAGTGCCGGCCGAGCGCTGAGACTGCCTCGGTGATTGCACATTTTTGGTAAGTGCCGCGGACCTGGGGACAAGTTAGCTTTTGTGCATTTTGCTTCGATGTTAGAACTTTAACTTTTTGCCAACTAGTGGGTTTTCCGTATTAAACCACTAAAAGTTAAACTTTTACCAGGGGAGCAGAAAGCAAATGAGGTAGGGATAGTATTGCAATCGTTAGTACAACCAACTGCTAGGTGCACGTGCCCAGTTTTGACATACAGCCATTTGAGCCTGTTCTCACGTGTTGGCTTCATAGCCCCCGAACAGAAAGGTGGCAGCCAGGGCAGTTTGCTGTTCTGGCCTTGCCAAGCGTCAAATCTGGGACAGATTTGCTCCTGGCATATGTAGATTCTGCATGATGACCTGTCCAAACTTATCAGAACCCGTGACTTCTTTAGCTTGGTGCGCTCAACAACCATCGAGACCTTCATAAGTTGTTTCACCACGTGGCTTGGAATTCTTGGTTTGAACTGGCAACACGCAGCTCATCAAGTCGCACACATTTTTATTGGCTGGCCAAGTACTAGACAGTTCACAGGCAAGCACTTCATATGTGTTGTGATGTTGGTGTTGCAGCGTTGGCGTACGTGAAAACCACCACTGTTGCGGGAGCAAAAGGCGGTGACGATCCCGCTGAAGAGGTGGTCTGTAGCGGTTGGTCAACTTGCGTAGCTTCGGCCATTTGGCACCTACCTGAGGACTTTGAAGGTTCCAGGATCCGAGAAAGAAAAAACAAACAGTCAACACTCAAGGGGAGACAGCGATCGGTTTCGGAAAGGAACGACGGTTGAAGAGAATCCTAGAAGCATCTTGGCTTTTGCAGCTAGATGCGAGCGGGCGCGGGTCTTCAGAGCGCCGCACTATCAGGGTTGTTCAGGCTTTTCGGCCGAAAAAGACCAGCGCAGAGAGGGAAGAGACGCTTGCCACCTGAGATTGAGGCAGCGATCGTCCAGTCTAATATGCTGGATTGGACCCCTCGCACAAGAGGCACAGAATCTGAGTCAACCGCCTTTTACTCCCTACAAAGCAGGCAATAAACTTCCAGCAGGAACACAAGTCAGTGCAGAGATTGTTCTAGGATTCTTGGATGTGTTCGGCGCGTGTTGACCAGATCTTCCAATCAACATGTTTATCCGTGGCTGTCGATGGACTATGCTCATGTGTTTGACCGCTTCCCTGTTTCCAGCGAGCTTCAATGAGTTGTTGTCTTGCTGGTGCTCGGGTGTTTGGAATGCACCTAGGGGCTCCCTGAAAGGAAACCATAGGGGATTGTTTCAAGGGGTCATTTTTTCATTTATCATAGCATAGGGGATTGATTTTTCAGGGGTCATTTCCTCATCCCTGCTGATAAAAAGAAGCAGAACACATCAAATCCAATGCTTCGAACCGTTTCCGCCTCGCACTTTCGGGGTCAAAAGCAGGGCTCTCAGGTTCTGAAACCGTCCACTAGCCCGGCCTGGACCTCAAACCGCTGAATGTTGGGTGTGACGACTAAAAGGCAAGCCGCTTAAGCCCCACAGAGGCTTGGGTTGAGCCAAGAGGGAGACCCAGAACAAATGTAGAAAGATGAGTTCTGGCTCCTCTCAAGCAGCTTTTCTGCCGAATATTGACTTGCTTCGTGGTGTTTCCGGAAACGGAGGTATTGACATGCTTTGTACTCTGTGGCAATCCCTCAGCAAGTGGTCGGATTTCACCTAAGCTTGGCCTGAACATGAAGCTAGGTTTTTTTGGGATGGGCATGGCTGATGAACATGTTGGCACGTTTCAGGGCTTGTGCCTCCTGACTTCCAGGTTGCTTGAACCAACGGTCCAGAACAAACTCTAACATCCCATGGGACAAAAAGCCGCGCCCGAGAAAACAACACCGTTTTTTTTTGGATGGATCAGGTTTTGACAGCTGTACCTTGGGAGTGCTTCAAGCGCCAAGCGCGGCTTGTAACTACAACTGGTAACTCGTGTGCTTCATGCTCAGTGGCCTGCCAACTTTTGGTTCACCTGGCATCGACGCCTTCAAAACTTTGGCCTTGCGCATTGGGCAGGGATCCTTAAAAGATCTCTATTTTGCCCATTTGCAACATGGCTTTTTCCACCAAAATAAATGGACACCACAATTTACAGGGCAATGCTCAGGTGTATAATGTAAGGATCCCTGTTGGGCGAGGCCAAGTTTGCCCCACTCCCAAGGAGTGAACTTTCGGGCGATGCCGCCTGAGGCTGTGCCTTCAAAGCCGCTCAACGCACGGGGCAACTCTCACAAGGCCCGGACAGGCAAAGCAAGCTTTTCCCGTGGTTCCTCCAAAGGAAGGTGTCTCAATATTGGAGAGAGGTAGTCAATTCTATCATATTTGTCTTGGCGGATTTCCGGGGAGCGCTTCCCCTTTGTCTTTTGTGCTCATTACCCAAAAAAAAAAGTATTCCCCAGTTGGAGAGGACCCATTTCTGGAGGATGGTTCATCTTCCCTGGGCCTTTTAACCTCCGTTTGCTGCAAGTCTACCGCTCCTTTCAGGCTGCAAGAATGCCCGGATCGACTTATCTCGAATCCATCTCCTTTCGTTGGGACGTGATTGCCAATTGCACCTGTCTGAGTTTCCGTCAACATGAGTTGAAGCTTGAGACCAAAAACCCACTTGCTGCTCCAAAGCTTCATGTTCGTCGTTGAGGTCTCTGGCGTTGATGACCGCCGGTTGAATGAAACCATCATGAAATCAACCCCTTGGCAGGGCAAAGCTCACGGCTTTGCAGATCTCTAGGGAAGCCAAGTCTACCGGAAGATATACTGCTGGATCAAAACCTTAGAGGCGGGAGCTCCGTCGCAGGTCCATCCCAAATCACCCTAGACTCATGCTGTACCCTAGAACCATGTCCCAAATCACAGAGTTCCCCATGTCATTGGTGGAATCATGTTTGTGGTGAGAGCGGCTGCATCCTTGCCATGTCGGTGAGCTTCACTCAAGAGCCATAGGCCTTGGGAGCATTCGGCCTGCACTAGAGGCCGATGAGATCGAGGCTGAGCGGCTCTGGTGGTCAGAGTACTGCGAGCAGAAGCTGCAGGACCGGCCACCCGTGTCCGGCCCTTCCGCTCGCTCAAGATCCAAGTGCCCAGACATGGAATTCTAGCAGGATCCTGGAAGACCATGTTCCTTTTAAAGGGACCCCTTAGTCAGGGTCCACGTTCATGGGAGGGTAGAAGTTCCCAGCTTCACTTGTCGTGTTTGCCATTTGGCACCTCTGATTCGCTTGCCGAGGCGTATCTCTTCGTTCTTGTCTGTCATTTTGGGGTCCCACACCCAGGAAGGCGTCCCGTTTTGTTTTTTTTTTCTCGCAGCACTGGGGACGCCAAACAACGGCAGAGGGGCCACAGGTTAGCGCCTTCTGAAGTAATTCATATGGGAGCTAGTGGGCATGGAGTATGTGTTTGGTGTGTGTTCTATTCCCCAAGGCTCGGACACAATACCTTTGGTGCATTTTGCTTGGCTGTTGGGACTTTAACTTGTTGCCAACTAATGGGTTTTCCGCTAAAAGTTAAACTTTTAGGAGGGGAGCAGAAAGCAACCGAGATACGGGAGAGGAGTTCAGCCTCCCTTTGCTTTCCATGGCCTCAATGACATGTCCAAGTCTTCAAGATGCCTGCGGAGAGTCCTGCAAGCCCGTGTCGGTATCTCTTTGAGTCATGCACATAGGTCATATAAACACACAGGCAGATGAGACTCGAACACACACCGAGCTTCCACCCAAAAAACAAAACGCATTGATGGAGCTTTCGGTCTTACTCCCCAAGCTGCCGCCAGATGGCCAAATTTTGCTGGCGCCTGCTTGCCCACTTGGAAAATATTGCCCGAGCAGGGACTTAACAACATATGCTCATTTGCGCTCCCCCCTCCCCGCTTTCCTGCTAAGAAACTCCACCCGTGGCTTCCCAGGAATCCTTCTGTATCTCCATGAATTGGCACCCTTTGAGCTGCCAAACAGAAGTTGCCAAGGATCACATGTGAGCAATCAGAACGGATACGTGAGAGTAAATCCAAGGCCCGAAAAAACGTGCTCAGGGTCAACAACAGGTAGAAGCTGGGCACGCTATTACTACCTTGCATTTGCTTAAGAATATGTGGGATTTCGCCCTTGTTGATGTTGACGAGAATCTATTGCTTTGCCAATGGCAATGGTTTGGGTTGGGACAGGCACACTTTAAACCTGTCGAGAGAGAGAGAGAGAGAGCGAGAGAGAGAGAGAGAGAGAGAGAGAGAGAGAGAGAGAGAGAGCGGGGAGTTCCTGACACAATCGATATCGAGAATGGCATGCCCGCCTTGTCTTTGATGGATTGGCACGCACTGTTCGCCTTGGTCGCTGGTCCAGTCTGGGTAATTATCCTGGTTTTTGCAGTGGTATCTCGATTTTTATGCCTCCAACCTGCAAACACTACCAACACCCATGAGAGCTACTAGTACCGGTTCGTTTTGTTTTTTGTTTTTTCCTTCAGGGGGCCTAAGCAAATGGATGTAAAAAAACACGGACCTGGACAGTGCCTTCACATGGTGGTGTCACTTGCCGTCAATTAACCGATCGACCTCTCACGGGGATCGTTTTTGGACTGAGCTCCGATCTCGCGCGGATCTCCCAGTCCGATCTCGGCGATCGGCCGCGAGGAGATCCAGGAAGGCTTCACCAAGGAGATGGAGCGCGTCAGCGAGCGCCTGCACTCGGATCTCAGGTTCTGCCGCGCTCCCGGCGGTCGATCGCCTCTTTTCGTTTGGTAACGAGAAGTGGGCCTACCATTTCGATCCGAGGGGGTGGATGGGAAAAAGGTCGCCGAGACTCCCTGAGGTCATGGGCTTGAGGTCACTTTTTGAGAAGAATATGTTGGTGGGAAACAGAAAGTGTGGACTTTTTCCGGCGGCGAAAATGAAGCTAGCCAATATGAGCTGGAATTTGTCAAACGGAAGTCGGCCAGATGCACACCTTGGCCTTCAGGTGAAGACCGGCTCGCTGAACAGGCGCATCTGCAAGCTCTCACCGAAAACCCCCCCAAAGCTGTGGTGCAAGTGCCTTAACAATGGAGTTCTGGGGGAACATGGGTGGGTTTGCCCTGATGCTGCTGATGGATGGTATATTTGCTTTTGATCTAGGGAATCCAGAGCGGTCAGGCTTTCTTTTTTCCAAATGTGATTTGGAACACCCAGATTCAAGCGAGACATGGGCAATCCTGCAGCTATCCAGTATGTTGCGTCAGCCTTTTTGCAGCTGGCACTGCTGACGCTGGTGATTGAAAGCGAATGACATATCCATGTCCATAATGTAGATAATATTATTCATATCTGATAGGAATATGAACTATATATCTATGTAACGTAGGCAATAGTAGACCCCAAGTCAATCATGAATGCGTTGCTTAATCAGCCACCTGGCCACGGCACGCTATTTGGGAATACATGTGCCAAAAAGCATGCGGCAGCCAGGTTCTCGCCACTGGAATTCTGACCGTTATCATTTACCCTGGGAAGCCAACAAGTCTGTTGCTTTGTGGTGCCCTTGTTTCCTTTTTTGGGTAAACGTCAACCAACAGAAATAAGATGCCCTTTTTTCCCATGGCCACTGGGCATCTGAGAAATCTTGGTTGAAACCAAGACTTCAAAGCAACACGTTCAGAAAATCTACCTCACGCTGTTTTGCTGGACTTGTTCAAGCCCTGCATGGACTTGGATATGCGTGTCGAGCTGTGCTACTTGGGTGATATCCGGGTTTGGCGTTTTTTTGTTTTCTGGAGCTTGGCTCTTTAACTCTTCGAAGCAGATTCTCATGCATAATTTTGGCCCATTTGGCCCGGTGCGAGCTTGGCTCTGCTCAGGCACGCACTTGGCGTCGGGTTTGGGGCTGAGGGCCGCCGACAACTAAAGCCCTGCAGAATGCAAGAATGAAGCGAGCGCTTGAGCGGGAATTCGCTGGGCCTATGGCACTCACCGGCTCGCTCCCCCGAGCCGCCGAAAGCTTCCAGCGTGTGAATCCGCAGGTGGAGAGCGAGAAGGCGCAGCGGTCCCTGAACCTGGCAGAGATCAGGCGGGGTGCACAAGCGATGTCTTCCATGGGATTCGCGAAAAAAACGAACCCTCCCTGAAATGTCTAGACCCAGTGTACGGTGCCCAATGTTGGAATCTCGCAAGGCACAGTCTCTAGGTTGATGGCCGCGGTTCCAAAGGCCAGGGCAGGGGGGAGATTGGCCGAGGGGTAAACTCGAGCGTCTGCTTGGGACATATTCGTCGCTAGTGACGGGAGCCTCCCGTTTCCTGTCATTTGGACCTTCCCTGAAAGAACGTGGGCCCAGGCGCGAAGCCGATTACCAGCTCTCAGACATCACCAGGCATGGTGGGTCCGCTCGGGCAAACGCGTCTGACATCCGTGGACAAGAACTTGGTGGTTCGCAGCCATCCGGTTCCTTAGCTTTTTGCCTTTTATTGTTTAGTGCCCACTAACAGTTAAACTTTTACCGGGGGATCTGAGGACGGCCCAAAAATTGCAACCCGAAAGCACGCCCAATGTAGCAGGCACCCGGAGCCCACATCAACACCAGCAGTGTCACAAGACCTAGGCAGCAACCGTTCACCTATCGAGGAATCCAATGCATTTGTAGATCTAGAGCCCCGCCAAACCTCAGTGAGCAAGCACCGTTACCCTCCAAGCTGAATCGTGAGATTGGTTCAAAGCTGGTGTGTTCTTTGTTTTCCCCTTCTGAGCTTCTAGGCAGGCGTCAATTGAAACACATGCCTGTATTTGCAATGGGCGCGGAATCGCGCCAGAGAGTCGGCGCATCCGACTCCAGGTCCCAGGCTGAGCTGCGGGAGCAGGTGATGAGCTTGAAGGCGCCAGAGACGTGGCCGGAGTTGGGGTGGTTGGGGTTGGGGTGGTTGGGGTTGGGGTTGGGGTTGGGGGTGTGGTAGGGGAGACTGGGGATGTTCTGCTGTTTTGATGTCGTTTGGAACTTTGACTGGCACAGGTGTCGCGTTGAACACCTGGAACCCAGCGTTGCAATGTACTAGATTCGCTGGACGCCCACACAAACACATGGGACCATGCAGATCAGGGCACCACACTGGACCCAACGCACGCCCTTGTGTGTGCCACGGGAACCTGGATGCAAGTTCACGCAGGAAAGATCTTGTTGTGTGATTTTAGAGAATCTGTTTGCTTCATCGTCATTTTGACCTATCCACTCAGCAATCATCCACCAGCTGTTTGGCAAACCTGCTTGCCTCATGCTTACCCGGGAACTAAGTCTATGCCAGGGCCAGGTCTACTTGGGCTCCTCTCAGAGTGACATCACGACACTCCAGGCGGAGGCGGAGTTGCAACCGTTGCTTCCTGATGCGTTGGCCAGCTGGGGCTAAGAGAGGGCTACAAGAGAGCTTGTTGTGACATCCAGTAGTTCGTCCCGACTGATGCGATGGTTTGGCTTTGGAGGTTGGTAGTCCCCACCTTTCCGCCGAAGACTCTCTTGTCGGTAAATGAGTTTGCTGAGGGGATGTTTGCTTTGAGAAGGCAAGGATCCGGTGGCTGGGTTCTTAAAAGGGCTGCATGGGTCGATTCTGTTGGTTTTTGGGGTGGGTTATTTGAGGCGCTCAAGTATTTGTTTGTCTTGTCCCCTCTGTTTGAATTGGGGTGGAGAGCTCGAGTTCTGTGTGTGAAGTCCAGTTGGCCCCACAGCTAATCGAGGGACCCCAAACGCGCGCGCGCATAGGTGTCCTTTTTGGTTGTTGTGGTAGAAAAATAGTAGAAAAGTAGGTTTACCTGGTGGTTGAATCATCTACCAGGGCCATCTATTTCCGCTAAAAGGACACCTATGCGCACGCGACACGTTTGTGCCGTTGCTGGGAGGTGAAGAGTCTGCGCAGTTTGATGGAGAAGGAGCAGAGGACAGAGGCTTAGAGGGGATGCCCCGCCATCAATCTCCCAATGGCTTGAATTATCAGCGAGGGCCCCGTTAAGCTCAATGTTTACATGCCTTGGAAGACTGCGTAAACCAACGCAACGCAACAACTAGCAATCCGAACCAAGTTGTTGCTTCAACTTGTCCCGGGAGAAAGCAACCCAACTCGGCTGGATGCTTGGAAGCTACGGGAAACTGACCATGCCGTCAACCTTGCGTATGCGTCGTATCAGACGTCAGACGAACACCTGCTAGTAAAACAAATCCAAACGGATCGGACTCCAAGTCCACACGTTGCTTGCTTGGCACATCTTCCAAACTCTATTTGTGAAGCTTTGTGGAGCCGGGTGCTGCATGCCTGAAGCGTCGTGATGTGTCAGTACTTTGCCGTGAGTCGGCCAAAAAAAAGCCATGGTTCCCTTGGGACTTTATCCCCCCCCCACCAAAACCCTAACCAGCGCTGCAAAAATCCAACCCTTCAACCTGCCCTAAAGCCCCCCCCCGGCCCATCCACATGTGTATGCCCAAACCAACCTATCAGCCCCAAACCAGCCGCAGGCCAACCCATCCCGCACGAACCCAAACCCAGCTGGCCTACTCACATCGTCCCGTCCCCCCCCGGCTGAGCATTCTGTGTGGCAAGCTGAACGTCAACAGCCAGGTGCAATGTGAAGTTGTCATTTCCCGTGCAAGCTGAACGCCAACGGTTCAACGGCTAGGCAGGTGCAATGTTCAGTTGTCACCGCAAGATGTTATCCCAGCGTGCTCGCGGTTTGCCCCCACTTGTTCTCAGTTGTTCAGTGGCTCCCTTTTTCCTTTTTTTTTGGTGGCTGCCCCTCTAAAATGGTCTTCCCAAAAAAGGCTTCCCTTTTTTTTCTCCAGGGTCACTGAACCTTGCATTTACCAGGGCCATCTATTTTTCCAAAAGGCCACCTATGGGTTGCACCCCCCGTCGTTTTTTTTTTCTTCTCCGCCCGCGCCGACTGAGTTGTCCCCCCGCATCGAGCGAGCCGACGGACAGCCCGGCTTTCAACCAGGCGAGCGATCGACGCATCCGATGGCCGTGAATTCCTCCGGTCCAAGGGGTCACGTGGGTCCCAAAAACCTCAGTGGTTCGAAGCGAATCGACCCTTTGGGACCTTTTGGTGTTCCAGGTCTTCACATGTTGGGTCCATATTTGTGGCCCCGAAACGGTGAAGCTTTGAGTTCCAGGTCCGTTGGGCAACTGAGAAGATTTTAAGGCCGCCACTTTTGTGGACCGCAGATCTTCGTCCTTGGGCAACCCATTTCCCAGGGCAAGCCATGTTTTGGGATACCTATTCTTGGCCCATACCCACTTTTTTGCAATTCTCAAAATGGGGATCCCCGAAATGGTTACTGTGGGTTCCCCGACGCCCCACACCACAACGCAAACTCTTTTTGTAGAAGCCCGACGCCATGAAGAGAAGTTATGCAGAAACCATGTTTTTGTTTGGGCTTTCGATTGCCAAGATGTTCGGCAAGCATTCGGCGATACTGAAACACACACACACACACACACACACACACACCACACACACACACACACCACGTCAACCCAGGCAAGACCCAATCTCCAGGTTGGCGCAGACTGTAGCAGCTACCGGCCAACTTCTGCAAAGCTATCAAAGGTTCGCGGAACTCATAAAGGTTTCCCAGCGGCAATGCTTGAAAGCTTTTTTGCCTTTCCAGCGGTCGCAAACAGCTGGCTGACAATCGATGGGATGCGAATGCGCATTTGAAGCAAACAAGTTACCAATTCGTGCCTTGGAGAGGTTTAGAGGGAGCATTGGCGAAAGTCTTCGAGCAAAGTCAGCACAACGCAGTGATTTTGCTCTTTGCCAATAAAAGACAACTAGGCGACTAGCACAACCGTAACCATATAGTTTACCTCTGGTTTTAAGGAAGAGCAAAGGGCAATGTGTGCCTTCAGAAAACGCACCCGCGTGTGACTTCATTAACTTGTAAGCATTCACAACATCAGAATCGCTGGTGAGGTTTGCAAACGTTTGCACTCGATATGTCTGTCTTGATGTTCGTCTTGCTCTGGTCCACCAGATCCGGACAGGTTTACCCTTGAGTTTGCGTAGCCCACGGGTCTTGGAACCACATCCCTACCTGGAAGGAACCATCCTTCTGCTTCTGCCTATCTTTTTGCGACGTCACCGATTCGGGGGTATAACGAGCTTATTCCGAATTCAACTTTTGGAGTTGTCAATAAAATTGGGCAGAATACTCTGGGTGTTTGTTTTTTTCTAGCCTGGGTGGCTGTTCTTGGCCTTTCAGGGTTTTTATTTGCAGATCCGAGGGAATGAATTCTTAGGGGATTCCGGATTCCTGGGTTCCTTCCCTCATCTTTTGGGGCACCTTCACTTTGGGCGGCGATCCTTCGCCATGGATCCGACAGGTGAAGCTGCTGGAGGCGGAGGTGGCCGACCTGCGCCGGGAGGTCCGCACCTCCCAGGCGCCAGCGAGGGGCTGGCGGTTTGGCCGGGCGCTGTGCCCTCTTCCCCTTTTCTGGGGAAGACGGCGGAAATGGATTTTTAGAGACCAAGGCTTCTGGAGGAAGGCAAGAGAAGTCCGCCGCGGCGAACTTCGCCGCGCTGTTTCTTTCATCCGATTCGCGGTTGAGCGCCTCCAGCTGTGCCCCAGACATCTGGAAGCTGCTTGGTTCATTTCACCGGCCCGGCGGCCATTTGCCGCAAAGGCTTCTTTCCAGGTTACCCGGGCGTGTTTGAGATCTCGACGCTGCTTGTGACGAAACCATGTCCGAGTGCTTGGCTGGAGCCAACAACTTCCCATGAAGCCCATTTCCGCGCAAAAAACAGCACGTGCTTTTGCCGGTTGATCTCAAAAGCGATTGAAAAAGGGCAGAATCTACCGTTCGAGGCGTGAAAGTCAACTTGTTGCAACGGGCAGATGGCGGATGGCCAAAGAGGCCATGGAACTGGTGAAAACCTAACTCCCGCAGACCGAAGGCTTTCTCCCTCTTGACGCAGATTGGTTCGATGTATTTGGTAAAAAACAAACACAGCAGGGCAATTTTCAACCATGCGGGGCACAAGAAGCGGAGCAAGAATGAAGATGAAATGAAAAGACAAACAATGCAGGCAACGCAGGTTGGACCATGAAAGTAATGAAGTTCATGATGCCCCCATTACACCAATACAAACAAGCATGGTCCCTGCGTTGCCTGACTGTACTCTCTGATTGTTTTTTCCAGGAGCAGTCCTTCGGACAGAGCGCAGAGGCAGGCCTTGGGCTTGGGGGTTGACAAAAGTCCCGTGTTTGTTTTGTTTCCCCCCGTTTTGGGTTGTACACCTTGGCCTCTTTGGCCAGGTAAGTTGTTTTTTTCCTTGGTAGGGGTGCAGGGGGAAACGCAAGCAACCTGGTCTTGAATGATTTCGGAAGTTGGTTTTGCAACTGGGTGTCACATGCATGGCGGCACATGACCCACGGGAGCAAAGCTTTGCTTTCTGCACGCAAGTTGAAAACGCAGTAGGGCGCGGCGCGCCGGTTGCGCGGAAGGGATTCGGTAGAAGTTGTGCGAAAGCCTTGTGGTTTGATTTGGGCCGTCTCAGTTTTTGTGCACAGGGGAAGCGACGACAGTAGAAGCAGAAGAGAGTTGCTGCACTCAAGAGGCGCAGCGCTAGCTAGCTAGAAGAACTATTGCCAATGTCTCATAGCGGGAACCTTCCAGGATATCTTCCAATTGGTGTCCCTTGAGACGGCCCCCAAGCCAAAAAGTCAAGAAAAGGAGAGAAAAGCGTTGAGCCTGAGGTACTTGCAACGAAGCGCTTGTCAAGGTGTTTGTCAAGATCCTTGACAAGGTGGTTGCCAGGGTGTATACAAATCCCCTATCCACTTGAACACATCTCCAATCTGAATGAATTTGCGGGTGCTAAAGCAGGCAATCAACAGATATTCATTCAACTAAAGCAAAAGGGTGAGTCTCTATTATCTATCAGGTGCTCCTGAACAACCTGAAGCGAGACCTCGCAGAGGTTCAGGAGAAGGCCTTGGCCGCACGAAGCGTTCGGTCGACTGTAGGGAAACAGTGGATTTGCCTTTGGACCACAAAAAGTTGAACTTTTTGCAGAGGAGCCAACAGCAAGCAAGAAATTGGCGTGTGCATGTTTGTTTCTTCTTTTGGCAGAGTTTGCCTTTTGGATCGCTGAATTGACATCAAGTCATTGCGGGATATTACGTGCAACTTGGGCACAAGACAGCTTTGCACGTACTGTCACTTCTCCTGTTGGCACGCAAGTTTTGCGTATCGAGTGCTTCTTGCTCTTTGCCGGCATTTCAGGCTGGAAGGGCCATTTGTTGGCAGTGGTTTTGCCGTATGGGATCCCACAGCCAACAAGCGTCCCGCTTTTTTGAGATCGTTGTGTGTGGTGATTTTCAACCCGCCCTCGCGTCCCGGGTCCTCCCGTGCCGGAATTTCTACTGCATCCAGCCGCGTTGCGCACTCAAAGTTTGCTCCGAGGCGCATGTGCTCGAACGGGCGGAACAAAGAACGGGGATATCATGTGTGCAATCATTGTTCGTGGGGCTGGTTCCTGACGCCGGCGGTTTTTTTGCACGAGATGTTCCTGTCAGGAGTTTGGGATACAGGTGTGTCGAAGGCAAGCGGCGCAGAGCTTTCTCACATGCTCCTCTGGCTCGTGCCAGGTGCGTTTGCAGGTCCAATCCAGCGAGGAGCAGCGATCTTTGCATCAGGCGAGCTGAAACGCCTGCACGTTGAAGCGCAGCTGGCTCACAAGCAAACCGGCTTGCGAGCCTAGCTTCTGCAAAGGCCCCCAGTCGAGTCGCCTGCCACTTCGGTTTTACTTAGTCACTGGTTCCAGTGCGCTTGGGTCTTTGGCGAGGTCTCTTAGCCGAAGTTGATGCTTGATTGCCTTCTGATCCCTTGGCAAAGGCTTGGCCATAGATGCGGTGCCCTTGCAATGGTAGGCCACTTAAAAGGCAGGTTCTTTAGTTGCACAACCTGTTTGGAGTCCCTGCAACATGTTAAATAAAAACAAACTGGGGGCAGTGTGATAGTTTCATCGAGTCACTGGCAGCTATTTCCATGCGTGGTCTTGATTGCAGAGACAAGTCAGAGTCTACGAGCCCTTGAACCGAGTTCCATTGGCACACCCACACACACACACACCAGATGTTCCTGCAACCAGTGTTGTGTTTTTGTTTTTCTCTTTTTTCTCGGGGTCTTTGCCAGGTTTCATGGACCCCACCCTTGTCACATACAACCTGACGTTCGGGACCCGGTCCCCTCAAAAGGAAGAAGGTTCAAACCCGAACCGCTTCCCCGAACGCCACGTTCCATTTGACTTTGGTGCATGTTGCTTGGCTGTTAGGACTTTAACTTTTTGCCAACTAATGGGTTTTCCAGTAAACCACTAAAAGTTAAACTTTTAGCAGGGCTTCGCAGAAAGCAACCGAGATGAGTTGCTGGGACAGTGGATTGGCTTCAGGAACTTCGCTCTCAGGTGATCTCCCAGAGTGCTGGGGATCTGGGCCGCGGGATTGAGGAGCTGCGGGGACCCCGGCAAAAAAAAATCAAGCAGATCGGTTCTCAGATGGCCTGGCGGTCAAAAGAACACATTTGCCCCTTTCCCATGGCAATTGGGCGCTGGGAAACACATAAGAGATATTTTAGACTGGCCGAATGCAATGGTCAGATATGTTGTCAATCCTTTGCCAATAATTGTTGTTTGTCAGGTTCACGAGGTTGAAGTTGAACCCAGTTCCCAAATACAGGCAAGGTTGCAGCAATCACCGGGAATGTGCAAATGATGCACTCAAAAAATTGCAAATGTTGCTGAGAACAAACTTCATAGAAACCAGCTACAGGAAATTCTACAGGAAACGTTCCAAATTCCCACCAAATCCAGGGGTTTCCTGTAGAACTTCCTGTAGGTTTCTGAGAAAGCTCTCGGCTGTTGGATGTTGGTAGTGCGCTCTGGGATGTCTCACCTCCCCATTTTCGGCGCATTCGCATGGGCACAGCTGCGCCACTCGCAGTGCGTTCCCAGGTCAAGCGCCATGTTGAACTCCGAGGCGACCTTGCGCCAGGCTGGCAAGGGGCGAGTTGAGGAAATTCGGAGATGCAGGTGATGTTGTGGCAAGAGGGAGGCATCAAAACCTGGGACATGTTCGGATGATGCAGGTGATGTTGTGGCAAAAGGGAGGCATCAAAACCTGGGACATGTTCGGATGATGCAGGTGATGTTGTGGCAAGAGGGGAGGCATCAAAACCTGGGACATGTTGGGATGATGCAGGTGATGTTGTGGCAAAAGGGAGGTGTTGTGGCAAGAGGGAGGCATCAAAACCTGGGACATGTTGGGATGATGCAGGTGATGTTGTGTTGCAAGAGGGGAGGCATCAAAACCTGGGACATGTTGGGATGATGCAGGTGATGTTGTGGCAAAAGGGAGGTGTTGTGGCAAGAGGGAGGCATCAAAACCTGGGACATGTTCGGATGACGCAAGTGATGTTGTGGCAAGAGGGAGGCATCAAAACCTGGGTCATGTTGGGATGATGCAGGTGATGTTGTGGCAAAAGGGAGGCATAAAAACCTGGGACATGTTCGGATGATGCAGGTGATGTTGTGGCAAGAGGGAGGCATCAAAACCTGGGACATGTTGGGATGATGCAGGTGATGTTGTGGCAAAAGGGAGGCATCAAAGCCTGGGACATGTGGATGATGCAGGTGATGTTGTGGCAAGAGGGAGGCATCAAAACCTGGGACATGTTGGTATGATGATGCAGGTGATGTTGTGGCAAAAGGGAGGCATCAAAACTTGGGACATGTTGGGATGATGCAGGTGATGTTGTGGCAAAAAGGGAGGCATCAAAACCTGGGACATGTTCAGGATGATGCAGGTGATGTTGTGGCAAAAGGGAGGCATCAAAACCTGGGACATGATGGACATGTTGGGATGATGCAGGTGATGTTGTGGCAAAATGGAGGCATTAAGACCTGGGACATGTTCGGATGATGCAGGTGATGTTGTGGCAAGAGGGAGGCATCAAAACCTGGGACATGTTGGGATGATGCACGTGATGTTGTGGCAAGAGGGAGGCATCAAAACCTGGGACATGTTGGGATGATGCAGGTGATGTTGTGGCAAGAGGGGAGGCATCAAAACCTGGGACATGTTGGGATGATGCAGGTGATGTTGTGGCAAGACGGAGGCATCAAAACCTGGGACATGTTTGGATGATGCAGGTGATGTTGTGGCAAGAGGGAAGCATCAAAACCTGGGACATGTTCGGATGATACAAAACCTGGGACAGGTTGGGATGATGCAGGTGATGTTGTGGCAAGAGGGAGGCATCAAAATCTGGGACATGTTGGGATGATGCAGGTGATGTTGTGGCAAGAGGGAGGCATCAAAACGATGATGCAGGTGATGTTGTGGCAAGAGGGAGGCATCAAAACCTGGGACATGTTGGGATGATGCAGGTGATGTTGTGGCAAAGGGGAGGCATCAAAACCTGGGACATGTTGGGATGATGCAGGTGATGTTTTGGCAAAAGGGAGGCATCAAAACCTGGGACATGTTGGGATGATGCAGGTGATGTTGTGGCAAGAGGGAGGCATCAAAACTTGGGACATGTTCGGATGATGCAGGTGATGTTGTGGCAAAAGGGAGGCATCAAAACCTGGGACATGATGGACATGTTGGGATGATGCAGGTGATGTTGTGGCAAGAGGGAGGCATCAAAACCTGGGACATGTTGGGATGATGCAGGTGATGTTGTGGCAAGAGGGAGGCATCAAAACCTGGACATGTTCGGAATCAAAACCTGGGACATGTTCGGATGATGCAGGTGATGTTGTGGCAAGAGGGAGGCATCAAAACCTGGGACATGTTGGGATGATGCAGGTGATGTTGTGGCAAAAGGGAGGCATCAAAACCTGGGACATGTTCGGATGATGCAGGTGATGTTGTGGCAAGAGGGAGGCATCAAAACCTGGGACATGTTGGGATGATGCAGGTGATGTTGTGGCAAAAGGGAGGCATCAAAACCTGGGACATGTTGGGATGATGCAGGTGATGTTGTGGCAAAAGGGAGGCATCAAAACTTGGGACATGTTGGGATGATGCAGGTGATGTTGTGGCAAAAGGGAGGCATCAAAACCTGGACAAATGTGGGCATGACTGCTGGTTGTTGTTGTTGGCAAAGGGCGATCGGCTCAAAACATGGGACATGTTGGGATGATGCAGTTGATGTTGTGGCAAGAGGGAGGCATCAAAACCTGG